TTATAGGCAGTGGTGGGCTGGTGGCGTGAAATAATATTATATTATTTGATTTGATATTTTATGTTAATGAATATACTTTGAATTTTGATAATTGATATTAATATATGATGATATATAATAATTAATATATGGCGCAACGGTCGATATAATGAGGTGAATCGCACATTCGCACATTCGCATATTTATTATTATGAAAATTAGTATTATTAACTTAACACGTTTTTCGGAGTATCTATAAATATGATAATATAAATTTAATATTATTTTCGTTCTACAATTGTATAAGTTAATAAAATAATATGTCTAACCTTATTACAATATTGTTATGATACAAAATACATGCTAATTTTATTTAACTTACTAAAAAACTTAATTTTAATACTACTCAAACTAGTCTTGGCGGGGGGGAAGGGGGTGTTAAGGGCGCCAAAACATGGTTTCGCCCAGGGCGCCAAAACTTCTTGCGCCGGCCCTGTGTAGAGCGGTAAGGATGGCAGTGCATACAATAATTAAACGTATTTATACTGCACATATGCAGTAGTAATTAGACAATGATAATCGTATTCGTAACCATCTTCGACCATATAAGCTAATAGACGCGGCATACGGTAAATATCTTGACGCCAACATCATGTAGCGTGTGACGTCACGTTTGGGCAATAACRCCGGCCGGCGGCCGGACTATAGATAGTATTCTAGCTATCCCAATAAAATATGATTGATTAATGGCTTACTTACAAATTTTAATTCTTAATTTCTTATTTCCTTACTATAACACTAATTACTACTTATCTATCTATCTGTGTATCTCGGCTTTTCTCCTATTTTACGAGTTATTTATTAATTAAAATATAATTWTTAAATTAAATTTACCAAAATGATATATTTAGAACTAGTATATTGTTACCTCATTGTACACTCTCGGATTAATATAAACTTGAAATCATAAAATACATGTATGTAATAAATTTATTTACTGTAGGTACCAGTGGCACACCTAGGGGGGGGGGCGCAAAAAGGTTTTTAGCATCCCAAGTTAAAATTTAGCACCCCTTGTTTTTTATATATAATTATTATTATAAACCTAATATTATAAATTTTATGTTTTTAAATGATAGGAGATTTCCTGAAAAAATGTATAACTGTTTGGTCGTATAATATAATTTGTTATTTATCTTTGTTGAATATTGAAAAAGATTTATTCAATCAGGTAAACACCGAAACTATTTTGAATAAATATTGCATGAAACCCAGAAAATTTATGCTGATTTCAAATCTATAAATTATTATTTATTTAATAGGATTATGAAATTAAAATGTTTCAATATGTTTCTGATATTGTAGTAGTAGAAATGTTGTTCATTTTTTTATTTTTGTAAAAAGTCTTAATATATTTTTTAAAGT